CTGTCAGAAGCTTTCAAATTAGGCAGGTTAGAAATCCCCTAAAATTATCAAAAATCCCTGAACTAGGTGGAACTTAGTTAAGCGGATGATAAGCGGTGTCGCTTTACGTATTTAACATAGAGTAAGTAAAATAAGAGAGGTGGCGATCATATGGGCGTCCTTGTCACCGCGTTACGCAGGTAGTTTTCTGCCAAGAAGTTCTGAGCATGTGCGAAACGTGCAGGACATAGTGAAAATAAAATAAGGGTCGGTCAAATCAGTTCTGTCCTTTTTCAACTTGCAGAACAACGCGGCTGGATATTATTCTTGAATTGCTAAGTTGACTTTGCTAAATGAAATTAATCTAAGAATTAAATTTATCCTTATTTTAACCACGTTTCCGATTGATCGGTCGAGTTAAAATAATTTCATATTTCTAATACCTGTACGGTATTAATACCTTCAAATAACATTTGCTGTCGAGACGTAAGTATTGCATCGTAACATAGTAGTATTTTTTGTGAATATTACCATTTTTTGTTTACTCTTTCTTGTTCGTTTGTATAATTATAATTGCATAAAGATGAGTCCTCCTGATGATCGTGTTCTTTTCGTATATTAAATAGCATCAAACTGCAAAATTTACTATTTTAAAGAGGGTAATCTTGAAAACTACGCAAAAACCGGTTATTCGAATTCTCTGATCCAAAAAAAGATATTAATCGTCGCAGAAAATGATTTGAAATAATGGAACTCTTTCTTCTAAAAGAACGGCTTAGAATTAGAACTTTGCCTGGCCAAAGTTGTTATTTATGAGTCCAGCATGGAACAGAATCCTGCAGCACATAAATAGAGGACTTCTGGTGGGGATTCCTACTCCTATAGGGCACAAGTTTAGCTACCCAGTTCATCGTTTTGGGACTCTTTGGAAGACAATTTGTGTTTTTTACTTAATAAATGTTATTTTATTTTGATTTAGGTATATATTATTTCATTCCCTGCCATGGATCCCTTTAAATTTGGATCAAAATTGCGAGTGTTACAATTTCGATATCCTTACACATTGGAGTCTCGGCTCATTATTAATGGAAATAGGAATTTGTTTGCACCCTGTTGAGTAAACAGCACATTTTCTATTACCATTAATAACCGAGAGAACATG